AAAAATTCATTTTTGACGCTTAATGTCTCTAATTGACTAGCCCGAATCTACAGGCGTTACAATTATCTCCCCCTTAGGATGATTACGTCCCGGAATCATCAATGAAATAGGACTTGCATAATGACTCCACACGTTATTTATTCATCCTAGGTAATAACCGTAACTTCTATGTTTCCTCGAAAGAGTATTTAACTCTATGGCTTTCTTGATCACAGAAGATGCCTAATCTTGCATCTGCTTATTGTACTATGTTGTACTTTCAATCGTAACCTTCAAGTTACCAAATAAGTCCTTATTGTGGACTCCTTATTCTTCTCAGGATAATTACTTTCATTTATCTAATGTAACAAACCGATGGGTTGTGCTCTATTGACCTCTCATCGCACGATGCGACGCTTAGACTCGATTTTTTATAAAGTTAATTTCCAGAATAGAATATACCTTTCTTCATATTCTAATGCGATATAATCACATTTCAGCATGTAGCATTTCTACCTGCAAACTTCTTTTAACAACGAGCGCGACACTATCAATCGCATTAACTTCAACCTTCTGACTTAAGTCAGATGTTACATCTAACTTGGTCCTCTAGACCACTTAACATACTCCTCGTAGTCGAACTCAAATTTAAATATTAACACTAGGTTCGAAACAAGAACCATATTACTAGTCATTACCGAAACAATGGTAATGACATACCAGAATAAAGTGGAATCAATTACTAGCTTCTTGGTAACCTTGTGACTTTCCCTGATCCAAGTGCGAGTCTTGTGCTTCCGGTAGTATATGCATCTACCACCTTTCACACCTACTTATACTCGTCCCAAGTATTGTCCCGCAGTCGACCAAGTCACCATACAAGAAAATCATAAAACAGTTTAACACATACGAATGTATCCAAGTAATCATAAACAATTTCCCTAGACTCTACTAGGACTTCTTCATTGCTCAATCTTCAATCATCAACTCTACTTCAACTCGATTAGTGATGAAAATATCAGACGATTAGACAACTTCAAGAATTTCACCAATCGTTCCATCATCGTGCCAATCGAAGGTGTACTTTAGACGTACCGTACTCCTCTAAACGTACTTTTATTTCATACGACATACACTAAAGGCAAGATATCACTCTTACGATATCTTCTGATAGGTGTCATCCACTATCATAAGCCTTCTTCATTTCCTTTATTTACTCAATTTCTCTACGAGTCTTCACCATGACCTCTTGTACATCCAAGCTGACGTTCGGTGTGCCAGGCGGGAATTTTAAGATAAGAAAGCTTTAATTACGATAAACGTATAAATCTCCTTATCACTCTGAAACGTTTACATGCTAGTTCTAATATCGTAGTCATACGTTTAGAATCTTAAACACATAAGGTTTCCAGATCCGGTCGGCAACAAACCACAGATCCGAACAAATAATAGCACCAATATAGCTATCACACAAAACATTTAGCACATAAAAGCATTTTAGGCATCATTCCTAAAATAAACTAGTGCTTGTGTCAATTTAGGTGTACTACTTAACATATTTTAGACACAATTCTCACAATCATTACTTAGCATTCTAAGTTTAAGTCTAGAAATTTCCTACAAATTCCTAGTTCGCTTAAACTAATGCTCTGATACCAACTGTGACATCCCCATTTTTACGGCTAGAAAAGACCGATTTGTTTATGCTTTGTTTTATAAAATCAGAGTAATCTTTTAAAGAAAATGGTTGCGAAATTTGTTCCCAAAACAAGATAAGATAATAACTTATCAAAACATTTCTCAAAGAGAATGTATTTTCATTTAATAATAAAACCTCGGGATGTCATGTTCCGATACAGACATATAAGCATAAACAGAACTTACATTTAATTACACAATTGATTTATATCTCCTTTAAATCTCTCTGCGAAATATGTCTACGTATTAATACCTGTGATACAAAGAAAACTGAGTGGGTCAGGCTTGGGAGCCTGGTGAGCATATAGGGTTTTCATCCCACAATGTTATATCATATATTTATAAATATAGAACATTCAAACTTTTACAATTTCACCATATAAAGGCAACTCTTATCCCACCCCATCGATCCTCACAACGACACGATCTAAACTCTCGTATCTAAAATTTTCCTCTTTACCCGATCCCTACTCACGGATCTAAAACTATTATCTTCACCCGATCCATACTCACGGATCTAAAACTAACCTTTTCACCTAATCCATACTCACGGATCTAAAACTAACCTTTTCCCCTGATCCATACCCACGGATCTAAAACTAACATCCTGATCTGATCCATACTCCCGGATCAATAATTGTACCCAATCCATACTACAGGAATAAGGACAATTAACTATACCTTAACCTGATATGATCCATACTCCCGGATCAATAACTGTGCCCAATCCATACTCCCGGACTAGGGACAATTAACTATACCTTAATCCTGATCTGATCCATACTCCCGGATCAATAACTGTACCTAATCCATACTCCCGGACTAGGGACAATTAACTTAGTCTTAATCCATACTCCCGGACTAATAACAAGTTTTATCTCTTTACCTGATCCATACTCCCGGATCTAAAATTTACCTCTTGGTCTAATCCATACTCCCGGATCTAAAACTAGCCTCTTGATCTCATTATCCAACTCATCCTTTTATCACACACCAACTATCTCATCTACCCATGTTCTACCCAACATATTTGTAGATATAAATATATATTTTTATACATAGTTTAAAACCTGTATAGCATTCTCATTCAATACCTATTCCACATAACAGATGAGGCATACCTACATAACACGTATTTCATAGAGAATAAATCGGATCTAGGAGATAGAAGAAAGTGAATATACATTCACGCATATAACAACAAAATATACACATAACACATATTTTATATTAAATACTTGATAATTATGCGTTAGAAGAAAGTAACCACACACTCACTTGATTAGAAGATGATCGGACAGCACTACGACTTGTAGAAGTAGTATTCTTCGGTAGATCTGGAAGATCTTCACAAAAACCGGACTTCTCGCGGATAGAGCTTCGGCTCGGGAATTGCACTTCTCGGGATCTTCGGGGCCTCGGGACTTGCTTCGGGGCTCGGGAATGATATCGGGGCTTCGGGATAATTCTTGCACGAAAAACGATGCAAAAACGCGAGAAAACGGGAAGAAATGAGCAAAGAAGTCGGTTGCCCTCGACACCCTTTTATAGGGGGCTGGAACACGAATTACGCTGGGCGTAATTCTAAATTACGTTGGGCGTAACGGCGATAAGATCGCTGACTCCCCCCCCCCCCCCTTCGGATAATATCGGAATTTATATATAAATAAAATATCGAAAATATTTAATAAACTTCAAAAATTCATATCTTCGTCATACGAACTCCGTTTTCGACGTTCTTTATATCCCCACGTAGGTGAGACCACGATCTACAACTTGCGTTTAGACTCCGTCAGCTAATTTTTAATTTATTTTTATTATTTATTTTTAGTAGGCCGGGACGGGAAAATTCCGTTATAAATTCATAACTTCTTCATCCGACGTCCGTTTTCGCCTACCTTTTTATAGTTTTACTATAATTAATGAGATCTTAGATTCTCATTTATATTGTTTCAGCAAAAAACCGCTCGATCTCAAATCGAGTATTCGGGCTACAAACCGCTAAGTCGAAACTTAGAAAAATCATAACTTCCTCATACGAAGTCAGATTTGGACGTTCTTTTTATGCACGCTCATGGTTTAACGAACTCTACGACTTTTGTTTAGATTGCTAAGGCTACATATCACTCTAACGTAAATTCACTTTTTACGCCATTCAACATCGTGCCGGTTCCATCGCGAAACTTCGACGGGTCATAACTTCTTCGTTATAACTCGGATTTCGGCGTTCTTTATATGCACGGAAACCTTGTAACATATACTATAACTTAATTAAGATTATTCCTTCAAAATAATCTTCCATCAAAAAGTAATTTTTGACGCTTAACGTCTGTAATTGACTAGCCTGGATCTACGGGAGTTACAAACGAGTACTATCCAAGTATGTTAACCTGCTTAGAAAACGATACAACTTTTTGGACACTAATTTTTTAGCGTAATTGACGTGTTTAACAAATAAATGTAATGGCTCATTTGATTCTTATTACCTTAAAAATCAAATATTACAATACTAAGCTATTACATCTATTTTCCTACTCTCTCTCCTAATGGTGATCAGTAACAAAAACCTCTCGGTTCTCACATGCACTAGAAGTTTTCCAAGTGCCACCACCACCTGCATCCACCTCCATCTCCACCTAGAAATCATCGGATGCTTCCTGGTTCCAGGGTTATTAATCAAAGGAGTTTTTCAAATCGACGCTAGAGTTAAGGCTATTCCAACGGTGGCAGTGGTAACATTGATATCTGAAAAACAAAGATATCGGTGCCATCATCTTTTGTTTATCGGTAATCTCAAAACTTCACATGAACATCATCATTTTTTCTAGTTTCATCGATTTCAGAGTATTAATTTCACTAAAAGGAATATCGAGTTTTGCTAATGCAAATCTGGTTTGTTCTTGTTCTCATAGGACTTTGCTTCCCGATCTTGTTGAAGGCAACCATCCAAGATGGTGTATGAGAGAATCACACACATACATTTGAAGCTTATCTTCACTACTCCATGGAGGAAATGAAGGGTTTTCCAAGTGACCGATAATCTCAATTCCAGGAGGTACTACGAGTACATCACTATGGTTGATGAACAAAAACTTATTGATTACAGTCAACCAATCGTATTTTGTAAAAGCCCTATTTGCTCTTCCTAAATCGTGTATTAGTTTACTAAACTTTACAAAATACATCTCTATATAAACATAGTGAAAGAAAGAAGAAGAAGAAGAACCTGGAATTGATATATATATAAATCATCTCCGAATGATTTGGTGAATAACTGAGTTGGATTAATTGGGGATCTAGGAAACAACAAAATACCAAGATCAATGATCCCCTTAACTTTATCTTGCCAAGAAAGACTCAGAGGCCAGCCGAAGGTGAGGATTTTTATGGATGAGATGTGGTTGCGACGGTTAATTGAAGTGTTTGAGGTGGTGGTAGCCGACGATGTTGGAGGTGGTGGGTTGAAAGTCGATTGTGGTTTGAAGGTCAGTGGTGGGTATTTACCAACATGAGAGAGAGAGAGAGAGAGAGAATGAGAGAGAGAGAGAGAGGCGTTGGGTGGGTTTTTTTTGTTTTTTTAGTTAAAAAAATAAGAAATCAATTAAAAGAAATTATACAGAGAATTAGTTAAGGGCATAATCATTATTTTAGGTAGGGTATGGACCAAAACCACAAGAAATGATAATCATAGGGACCAAAACCACACAAGGTATCTAAAATTGGATCGTTGCTGCACCATCAAACTTTTTTGGACCAAAACCACATAATTTTGACAAACACATGAACAATTTTTCAATTTTGTCTCTTATTCCACTTGACCGATGGATTATGAATGGACAAATTTACACCACCCACATCTCCCAAATCAAGGATATTGATTCCTGTCGTATCATCGATTTCCTCTTATGACCCAAATCCATCTTCATCTTCATCAGAAGCGTCATTTTCTTCATCGACATCGACTTCATTGTCTTCATAATCAAAAGAAAAGTTGAAGAAATCATTTTTGCATCTCTCTTTACCTTTACCTTGTGCCTTGAAATTGTCTTCCAATTCCATATCTATCAGCTCAATGACTAGCATTTCCTTTTCGTATTCTTCAAAATTGTAGTTACTAGTTACTTTCCTCCAATTTCACATTCATGAACACTATACTTTATTCATTTCTCTCTGTTAAACCTCAAACCATTGCTTCTTTCTCTCGTGTTTCACCAATCGTAAGAATGGAAGGGTAAAAACCCTCATTTATTTACCTAATATCCCACATGTGGTGTGCCACATAAACATTTTACCGGTTTTATACCAGGTCACCCATTAGTTACCCCGTTTTAAATAAACTAATCAATAATTAAGACTTAATTCAAAATTAATATATAAAAACTAAATTAACTATAAGACCAAAATATAAGAATATGTATGGAGAATTCATCAAATGGTCTTTGGTTTATGTGTAAGGAATGATGGGTTCAAGTCTCCTTAAGAAACATAAATTGTGTTTAAGAACATGTTAGTTTTTCGTTAAAAAAAATAATAACAATAATTTATGGAGAATTCACTTTGGAAAAAAGGACTAAGTTTTCTATAATTCCACGGCAGTGATAAAAAATCATACCTGTCTTTACCTAATCCATATACAAAAATACGAAATCCAGTCAAACAATCAACTTTCTAGAAACATGATGTTGACTTTGCTGCCATTTACAAAACACGTTGACGAAACGTCGAACCTCCGCTGCAATTCTCCCTTGTTCAAAATCTGCGTTCTTCGATCGTCGTCTTCTAAGGTTCCTGAATCTTCGTGCTTGCTAGTGATAGAATTGGCCATCGGCATTTACGCTTCCGTTCGAAATGGTGGGTGTTCGTCCCTCCCTCTTCCCCTTTCATTCTTTCCATCTAACAAACATATTCACATTTTGATCGATGTGTAGACTACTAATGGTGAAGAGTCCCCAAAGAAGCTGCTACTCTACTCGTTTTTCATGAGCAGTTGCTCTTTCCGTGTTCGCATTGCCCTCAACTTAAAAGGTTTTGCTAATTTGCTCGTTTTTCACTGATTATGAATCTTTGAATTTGGATATAATTTGAATTTCAGATAATTAATTTGATTATTTGTGATTGTGGGTTGCCTACAGGACTTGATTATGAATACAAGGCCATTAATCTGTTAAAAAATGAGCAGCAGAGTCCTGGTAACGAACTTATTTCTTTCAATTCAAGACTCGTAATCTAAATCAGCATGTTAGACATAGTTTCCTAATACATATCTTTTGTTATATATCTCTAATAATAAATTAAGATATTGAAACTAATAAGAATATATAAAACAAAACTCAAAAAAACAAGGGACAAAACTGGAAACTATTATATAAGTGGAAGGGTTAATGTAAATGAAAATTTGAACGTCTTATTTAACTCTGACCTGTCAACCAATTACTAAAGTTTTTATAGTAAATCAAACAAAATATTTTTATTTTTTCATATGATAAAAAAAGAGATAGAGTAAATATCAATAATATTCATGCTATGTTGGCATATCAAAGTGTCAAGTACGGATTATCAAAATTTGGATTTAAAAAGGAAAACATGTATTGTGTATAATCAACAAATTAATCAAAGTATTTTTCTAATTCTTTCATTTGATATTTTTTTTAAGTGCCAAAAAATAGCGACATACTTATTTTATTATCGTATTATATTGTCCTACACTCTTTTCATTCTCTTACACCATTGTACTTCCATTTTTTTTCTCTTATTTAGAGATTATACTTTAAAAAATCTACACAGTTATAGCTATGAAAATTGTTTCGTGTTTCAATCATATTGCTATAGCTTGGTAGATTTTTTAAACTATATTATAGTAGAAAGAAATGAAAATAGGATACTATAATAAACAAATTAGTGATAGCGTTTTGCTATTTGTAAGTGTAGAGTTTTTAAAGATTAATCCTATTGGATACGTGCCTGCTCTCAAGGATGGTGATATAGTGCTTGCTGATTCTCTTGCAATTATATTGGTTAGTAACTTCAGATTCTTATTTATGAAACCCGTTTTTACTTATTTTCAAGATTTTCATTATTTTTTTTAGGAAGAACTTTTTTCTTTTTCTTTTTTTATTTACTTCATGTTTATTCTTCCTATGATACAGTACCTCGAAGAGAAGTACCCTAATCACCCTTTGCTACCTCACGACCTTGCAAAAAAGGCAATAAATTATCAGGTAATAATTAATATCACTTGGTTTCTTATAATGTTATTAAATTTATTATTATTAAAGAGTGGGCTCGAGTTTTAATCAAAGATCTTATTTCATATATATATATATAGGCTGCAAATATTGTTTCTTCGAGCATACAACCTCTTCTAAACGTACCTGTTATGGTGAGTAAGAAAATATATTTTTTTGTTGATTTATAAACATGTCACAAAAAATCGCTTCATTTATTCTTGTGTTTCTTTACTATCCAAACAGAACTTAATAGAAGAAAATGTTGGTCAAGAAGCAAAAATTTCATGGATCAAAAAGCAAGCGGGAAAAGGCTTCACAGGTAACTTTTTACTTAACTTTTCTTTCTCACAATTTGATCTTAAATTTAAAATTATGAAAGTTTTGAATTTAAATATACGATCGGTAGTAAAAATGACATTATTTATTCACACTATGTAAATAAATGCAGCTTTGGAGAAATTACTAAAAGATCATGCTGGGAAGTACGCAACTGGAGATGAAATTTCCCTGGTAGTGTTAATTTCTTATTATGGAAAAAATCAAAATCAATAAAATATATTGTATTTATCGTCATTATTTGTTAATATTTAGTTTTCCTAGATATCATGCAGAAAATGTAAACACAAAGTTGGATGCATGTTTCTTCTTGAATTTCCTTTTTATAAGCATCTCTCAGTTGCCTTATCGTTATCATAAAAAATGTTTTGTGTTTGTTTTTGTTTTATTATTTAAAATTGTCGCAACTTATGCAGGCTGATGTCTTTCTGGCTCCACAAATCATTGGTTTATCACAACGATTCAACTTTGACATGGTAGGCTTAGTTCACATACATCATTAATTTGGTTGAAATTTTTTTCCAGTTTTGAATTAATAAATTCGAATATTTTTACATAATCACATAATTGAAAGCCGACATTTTAAATTATGTTTGTGATGCTTACAATCGTTACTTGTTTGTGAAGAGTGAGTTCCCTCTTCTCTCCAGATTGAATGAAGCATACAAGCATGTAGCAGCTATCCAAGATGCCATGCCTGAAAAGCAGCCAGATTCCCGATTAATTGAAGGAATTTATTTAAAAGTATAATAAACAAAGCGACTAAAATGCATTTGGTGTTTCTTGTATTTATCCTTTTCCGTAAGTTTCGTGGATTTGCATGTGAATATTGGTATGATTTGGGAAACAAGGATATGATACGTTTGGAGATTATGATCTTTTTTATATAAGTAAGGGTTTACATATATGAACTTTGGTTTTGACTTTTTTTTTTTCCTAACTTGAAGGTGGTTTTTTCCTTATTTTTTGGGGATTTATTTGGCATTTTTGTAGATTAGTGCTTTATTTATATTTGTTGTTTATACAAAATTATTTGACTTTTTGATCGGTTGTGATTGATTGGGGGAATTTACAAGTTGTTGGTGCTGATGGGCTGGTGCTAGAAACTGAGGGCGATGAATCTTCAAAAAATTCAATATAAAATAGTAACAATAATAAAAACAACACAAATTTATGTAAACGGTCTCTCTTGGCTTACAAAAAGTCATTGTTAAGGTTACAAATTATGTTTCTAATATTTTTTTTTTTGTTTAAGATGTTTTTTTGGTTGGTCTATAGCCCATATAAAATAACTTGTATACTTCGATTTTTTTATTTAATTACAATTTATTTTAAGGGAACTTAAGTAATCAAACACATACAAACAAATATTTTAAAGATAATAACCATTTTATATTTTTTTTCAAAAATGATCACTTCCTCCAGAATATTGTATTCCGGAGTAGTTGCGTTCATTCCAAAGTTGGGGATCGTTGGTAGGTATCGGGTCTGGAATTTGATAATCGTACATTTCGGACTGGCAAAATGGATTCCAGACTAATTTTCCGAAATATGATATTCTAGAGTATTTATGTTCATTCCGGAGTTAGTGGTAGCTGGTAGAATTAGATGTCTGAATCTGACACTAGTACTTTCCAGACTGAAAAATGTACTCCAGAATACTCTTTGGAATGTACGGCCATTTCAGAGTGGTTAAAATAGGGTATTGTGTTCTTTGTTCATCCACAAGCTACATGTAGTATATTTGTGTATTTGTTCCCCAATTTGTCCACAAACAGTGTTTTTTTTCTAGTTTTTGTAATCTAAAAGAATGAGTATGTATACAAATTTTTTTTGAGTGTCAGTTTCTAGTGGAGGGCAATTGCAGTGTAATATATTGAATATTGCTCCAGACTATACATGCTTTGGTGTAGATATAAGCAATGATATCAACTTCGTTGGGTTAATCATGTTGGTTGTTTCTATGTAACATCCAAAAAATCATGATAAAATTTTCATTTTTTCAGTTAAAGTAAAATCATTGTTTCAATCAAAACTCAAGTTATAGAAACCAAGTATACCCAAGTTATAGAAACCAAGTATAAGATACCATTATCCTAAAATCAGAGTATCATAAAATCTCCAAAACATAACACTGAAGGATGTGTATGATCATGCTTTCGCCTTGTCCCGATCATCAGAGATACCTAAAATATAACACATAAACCTTAAGCAAAAGCTCAGTAAGTTCTCCCAAAATACCACATACGAAACATAAACAAACATGTACACTGGGCCCACAGCCTATGTCTGCAATACCCCTACAAGGCCCTCAACATAAGTCTGGATTGCCCCCGAGCCCATAACATGAGTCTGGAATGCCCTTCCCGGCCCTCAGCCAATGTATGGAATGCTCCCGAGCACTTAGCATAAACCTGGTATACCCCTACAGGGTCCTCAACGCATGTCTAGAATGCTCTCGATTTCTTGGCCTTCAGCACACAAAGTAGAGCTGCCTCAACCCAAATTGTTACAATATGTCGACATTAGCACATAAATAAATATTCATCAAATAACAAATAATCTTTCAGATCTAACTGATCACTACAACATAGCAACATCTTAACTAGGATACATAACCTAGTGGGCCAGCATTGGTGCCTTCGACCCACGAGTATCGTGAGGAAAACTCACATTACGGTCTGAAAATAGATGAACAAATCACTACTACATATGTTGTCTCTACCAGTTAACTATACAATAAACAAATACCTAATCTCAACTACTATTCGAATTACCCAAAATACCCCCAATTCAAACTTGGTCAAATTCCTGGTCAAAGTTAAGGAGCATTTGAAGTTAACATGGAGCACTTGAAGTTGACATGGAGCACTTGCAGTTGAACATGGAGCACTCAAAGTATACATGGATCACTTGATGAACATGGAGCACTTACAGCTTACATGGAGCACTTGTTGAAAGCAAGTTGGACCATCATGGTCTCAGATGGCACATCTAGATCATAAGTGGAGTATCAAGATATTGGTGGACTATCTAGAATATTAATGGCTTATCAGAAACATTGTTGGCTTATCCACAACTCTATTTCTCAACAAGACATTGATGGCTCAACATGAATACTTGGTGGCTCAACTTATGTCAATGGATCAACATGATTACGTTGATGGCTCAACAAGATTGCACATGGCACACCCAAATACTCAGTGGCACATACAATTCGTCCATGATCCATCTTGAACACGTAGTTGTGCATCTTCAAGTTCAAGATACATTCCAACATTTAAGAAACAACTCAACTTGATCAATGACACTTCTTGAAGTTGATGACATCTTAGAAGACCATGGAGCAACATGATGCTCATGTTGATCATTAATTTTTCAATGTTGATCAATAAGGCTCAAGAAATATGAAGATTCATAACTTGGATGGAACCCTAATGGAATTGGAATATTCCATCCATTCTCCTTTTAGTAGTGCAAATGTGTCAACTGATGACTAAGTCATGATGACGTGTCAACACCTAATTGGTCAAGCCATGTCATGGTGTAACATCTGGACTCCTAGGTATATTATTACGTGTTTAATTTTTTAGATTTATTGAGTGACTCGACGAGTTGTAAGTCCAACTCATCGAGTAGAGTCGTGTTTAGCCATGTGGGATTAGTAACCTACTCGACGAGTCAGAGAGTCGACTCGCCGAGTAGACGCTAAGTGATGAAACCCTAAATCCCCGGGTTTGGGGCCTATTTAAGGACACTTATAGCCTTATTTGAGGCTCATCAATTGCCTACCTTCACTAAGAGAAACCCTAATCGGCCTTTAAGCTAAGAGATAGAGTGTTGAGCTAATATTGAGTGTTTCGGTGCTTCTTTGGAAGAGAAGAGAGAGATTTCAAGCAAGGAATGGGAAGAGGCTGTTAGATCCGTTGTTGTTTCATCCAAGAGCTCCTTTGAATGGTAAAAGTTCATATCTTTCTCATTTTGTTGGGTATATCTTATATTATTGGAGTTTGGGGCTTTTTCCATCTAATATTGGGACTGTGAGTGTATTGATTTCATATAGAGATTTGGACTTTAGATCTGGACCTTGTGAGGTCCCTATAGTCTAAAGATCCATGCTTTATTCAACCATAATAGAGCTTTTGAGTGTAAAACCCTTGCTAGAGCATGTTCTTGGCATTTCAAGCCCTAAGTGCCATGCATGGACGTAAAGCTCATGACTTTACATGATAAATGAGCCTTGAGAGTGTAGATCTAGAGTTTGGGAAGGTTTGAAATCATCTGAATGAGAAATGAGTTTGAATGGACTCACCGAGTCGATGAGCCGACTCGATGAGTTAGTTAGGGTTTGTCCCGATAAGCTTGATCATGTGATAGCACAGTGAGTTGGGGGGTCAACTCGACGAGCTGAGCTGGACCTTCATGGTTCTTATGGGTAAACAAGGGGACTCGACGAGTTGGGTCAACTTTGGCTGTTGACCCGAGTTTGACTTCTGTTGAATTTAAGGTTTAGTCAACATGAGTAACGGAGACCATGGAAGGGTAAAATGGTCTTTTACCCATTCCAAGAGTTAGAAAAAGAGAGAGAGAGAGAGAGAGAGAGAGAGAGAGAGAGAGAGAGAGAACAACCTTTGGTATATTTTCAGTATGAGTAGAGTAATAATTAGAGATAATTATTCTATGTGTTAGGCGGAGGCTAGTTTGAGATTCCGTGTACAAGATTGTTACTTGCTAGCTTACAAGGTGAGTCTTCTCACTATACATATCTGAGTAGTAGTTACTGTGTCACCGAAGGGTTTTCACAGAGATACTGGATCGGAGGGTTCAACCTGAGCTGTGGGACTAGAGGGTCCTCATTATTGACTGGAGGGTCTCATTTGTTATACTGTAATATGCATTATTATGCATACTGTCTTTGTGACTTATGTTGTTATGTTATTTAGTGTATATGTTGACTATATGTGTTTAAGCTGAGCTATGTGATATATTATGCAATATGCTTTGTGATTTTTCTATGCTTTGCTGAGTTAGGACCGGAGGGTCCACCCGAGTTATGGGACCTGAGGGTCTCCACTGAGATACATTGACCGAAGGGGCTTATTTGAGATGTACATGGTATTTAGGGAACTCACTAAGCTTCGTGCTTACCGTGTTTTGTGTTATGTGTTACAGGTTCTTATCTGGTTCGTAGGAAGGCGCCGACTTGATTGTACACACATCTGAGTTAGAGATATGTCTTCGAAGGATCCTGGATTTGTGATAAACAATTTTTGAAATATGTTGATAAATTGTTACTTGTAACTTTTCAAGAATTATAAAAATGAGTTTTGTTGTGTTTTAAAAATGAAAATTTTGGTTTGAAATTTTAAGGTGTTACAACTTGGTATCAGAGCCTTGGTTTGAGGGATTCGGATGCACCTCCGGGTATGTTTGAACTCAAACTGAGGATTTGAGAATTTTTTTCAAAAGAAATGGTTTTTCTAAAAGGAGAAAGAGTTTTAAGAGAAAATGAGTTGGAACAGTGTGTACAATCAGCCAGAGTCCGAACGGTGATTTCCCAAAATACTCTTACTTTTGTGTTATGAGATACTATTTATGCATGCTGGAGGATAGACTAGGTATTTCATATTTTAGGGCTAGAGTTGCCTCATTTGTGTTGCCTTAGCCTAAAAGTTATTACTATCTGTTATGTGCCTTGAGTATGTGCTGAGTAAGAGTACCTAACAGGAATCACTTAAAGAGAGAGTTTTGAGTTAAGAGATAATCTAGGAGAGATACCTAGACGAGCATTTGAGGAATCTACTGAGAGAGTATTAAAAAGTTATATATATATATATATATATATATATATATATATATATATATATATATATATATATATATATATATATGAAACTTAGGAATAGTAAACTGGACATTTTTTGGTAGAAATTGTCCCTGCACTTTGCTCATTATTCTCTATCTATTTTGATATTTTTGGTCCTTGCAATAAATATTTTTACACTTTTTAGGAACCTTTTAATATTTAAAGTTTGGCCACAGAACTTTAACAGTTTGATAACTTTGATATCTTTTTAAAAATTTGCTAATTCCTATCCCTTTAATTATTTAACCGTTTTGAAACATCTGATCCTTGCAGTCAAAACTTTTAAATTTTTTCATAAAAACATAAAAAAACGGTCCGGAGCAAAGTCCATGCTTTTCATCTTTGCACTTTATACGTCTTTCATATTTATTGATTCGGAGAAAATATTGAAAACTTCTGGTTCCGCGTAGCGGGGTAACCTTTCGAGTTAGTATTAAAATAATATTAAAAAGTGGTTAGTTTCTTTTTTAACTATGTTCAAGCTAATTTTTATGAACTATGATAAGGTTTTATGGTAAGGTTTTACAAAACACAAACTACCAGCGTATTGGAAGTGGAAATTGCATAAAGAAATTTTCGTTAGAGGGCATCTGGTAATGGAGGTCGGACAGGGAAGGCTGAAGAAACCTTTTCAGGTAAATTCATCGAAATCAATCGTTCTTCCTCTTACTATATGATATTCTGCAACTTCTTATCTCGCATTTAATACGAATAGAGACATCTCATCCGTATCAACCTACTCCATTTACTCTATCATCAAATACCTAAATCCATTCAATGCGAAGAAAATGACGAATATCATGCTTGAAGCTGTTGTACTGCTTGGTGCAACCCTTGTACTCTACCATGACACATGGTTTTTCATAGATTGTGAAGCTAATAGATTGGTTATTTATGTCATGATCAACTAGCAAAATAATATCTTGTTCATTTAATTTCAGTCTCATGTACTGATTACCCATTTCCACAAAGCATTCAATTGAGCCCCCACTAACCTAATTTCCACAAAAGAGGATTCTGATAAGCAAGTTGAATATGCCCATTTGTTAATAGTGTAATATCATCATAGGTTTTACATGGTCCCCCCCTGGAAATCCGTTATGCCTTTTTTGACCTTTTTCGTAAATAATGATGTTTTAAAATTCAAAGTTCATTGACATAAATGCAGGTTTAAATTTAGACATAGTCACATAGCAATGTATTTCTTAAAACTTTCATCCATTTTAGACTTTTTGTGATACAATACAATAATTATAATACTAAAATTATCAATGAATAGATAAAATTTGAATTAAATGATGAAAGAACATTACTTAAATTACTTAACGTATGTATCTATATGGAACTATGTGTGTATGTGCTTATTTATAGCCATTCCTTCTTTCCAAATTACAAAGACCAAAATGCACGAATTCCACCATATGAGTTGTTTCGTTTTGATTGGGATTTAACATTTAAGTCTACAGGGGATTGTCTATATCATAAATAGACTTTGAAGGATGCAAGTGGTAGAACATATAGACTTTAATGCAGTGGGGGTATTATAGTAATAAACTAATGGACCAATTATACTTTAACAAGAGCTATATCTTCTTCTGTATACAATTTTCTACATTCTATTTTCTACTCTTTGTATGCTTCCATATAATGATTTATGAATATTGAGGTTTAAGTACAACAATTTCTGCCAAATACTAGTAGTAACCTTGAGAAATGAGTGTAAGAATTGGGGTATTGTTTGTGCTACTATTCATATTCATACATGTATTGCTTACATCAGCCCAGAATCGTGATAGTAAGTGTTCTTTATCTTGAGTTGCTTCACATCTACTCATGGATCTTTATTATATTCTTAATTTATTGATTGGGATTTTAGATTTTACTGTTTTTTGTCATGAATTAACTGAGCTTTTCTTTAGAGGAATATTTAATTCTGTATCTGTAGTTTTACCACTTATTCAAATTACAATTTTTTAAGTTCCCTTCAAGAAGTGTACTTTAAAACATCAGATTTCATCATAACTTTTTGGTGCAGTTGTATATCTACAAGCTCTCATGGATAACTTGCATAACACTCCACCAAATTGGGTTGGATCCGACCCATGTGTGGAAAAATGGGATGGGATCTCCTGCATCGAGTCACGTGTAACATCAATGTGAGCCTTCACACTCACTATAGTTTTAATGAATACCTAAACTATTCAACCTTGTTTTTATAATTTATATTCACTTTGTTTTTTTTTTTCATTTCAGAACCCTATCAAGCATTGGATTAAGTGGTGTGTTATCTGGAGACATTGGACAATTATCCGAATTGCAAACACTGTATGTATATATGTATAATATAATGTATCCTAAACTATTTATTTGTTTTATTTTACTTTTATGAAATGTTATTTATTGCATGTAGGGATCTGTCTTACAATAAGGATCTCACAGGATCTCTTACTCCAGATATCGGGAATTTAAAAAAGTTATCAAATTTGTAAGGGTATTTTTGTTACTTACTTTACATGCTCATAACTATGTTTCCCATGTAATATCTTTAAAAATTGTTTTTTTTTTTTTAATTTTTATTTTTTTTATTATTTCTCAGAATCCTGGTTGGTTGCGGTTTCAATGGTCCACTTCCAGAAACACTTGGATCTTTAACCCAACTAGGCTACTTGTAAGGATTTTTATTTTATATATATATATATATATATATATATATATATATATATATATATATATATATATATATATATATATTCCCATTTAGATTATGATGAAATTAAAAAAGGCTAGGACAACAATCTCTTATTTACATATTTCTATATTCAAAAATACATTTAAATACAAGAAAAGAAACAACAATGTTTATTATATCATCCTACTTTCATTCTTTTCTATTACAATTTACAACATTATACTTTAGTGAAAACTTGGTGTTCTTTTTTTATTTTTAAAAATATAATGTCCTAATAAGAAAAAAAAAATTGAAACTATAATGCTATAAAAGGGTAGAGTTTTCAAAGTACATTGCTATGTCTTGCATTATCATTTATAACTATTTTACAGGGCTTTGAATTCAAATGGATTCACTGGATCAATTCCACCATCAATAGGGAATCTTTCTAAACTTTATTGGTTGGATTTAGCTGATAACAAGCTTAGTGGGCCCATACCAGTGTCTAAAGGACCCACACCTGGCCTTGACCAATTGGTCAACATAAAACACTTGTATGTACAAAACTACAAAATCTCATCCTCATTTTTTCATCTCTATAACATTAAAAAAAAAATTCTAAAATTAATGTTTCCCTTTCCATTTAATTACAGTCACTTTGGAAAGAACAAACTCTCAGGTGAAATACCACCTCGCCTCTTCAGCTCCAAAATGTCTCTTAAACACGTGTAAGAAAAGAATAACAAGTTTTCAGAAGTTTTATAGATATGATTTGTTAATTTTTTTATTGTGTTTTGATAAATGTTAATTTGAGCAGGTTATTTGAAGAAAATCAGTTAACAGGAACAGTTCCATTGACACTAGGGCTTGTTCAGAATCTTGAGGTCTTGTGAGTATCATTAGTTATTATGATTTTTTTAAGAAAGCCAAATGAATTATTTTATATTTATTTTCATCTAAAAATTTGGTTGTGTATGAATTATTGAATTATGATTTATGAAACAGACGATTAGACAGGAATTTGTTAAGTGGTGAAGTCCCTTCAAACATCAACAATCTTACATCACTCAACCAGTTGTAAGTTAGAAAATATATTCTTTAAATCCAAGAAATGGAAACTTACTTTCATTCATTTGTTTCTTACATCATTTTACTTTCTTCATTCTATTCAATTATAGCAATGTCATTCAGATATAAATCAATTTTCATTGCTAAATTTGGTAAATTTTCAAAAGTATAAGTTCCTAAAGATTGCATTTGGACTTATTATGTTTTTTAGGTATCTTTCCAACAACAACTTTGAAGGCCCATTGCCCAATCTCACTGGAATGAAAATCCTTAACTATTTGTAAGCTTCTACATAATTTCATTAATCTTATAAACATATCATTAATTTTATAAGTATTTCAAAACATCATTTCAGGGATATGAGCAATAATTCTTTTCAACCATCAGAGATTCCTCCATGGCTTTCATCATTGCAATCTCTAACAACATTGTACATCTCTCTCTCTCTCTCTCTCTCTCTCTCTCTCTCTCTCACACACACACACAGACACATAACATTGTAAGACTAAATTCTTGTTTTGACTTTTGATATGTTTAAATTACTGATTGTTGGCTAAATATGCAATGTCAGGATGATGCAAGATACAGGGCTTATAGGAGAAGTACCTGTTGACTTATTTAGCATTCCACAAATCGAGACTGTGTGAGGACATCTTCGTAATTTTACCTATTTTATTTTCTTGTTAAAATACTGAAAATGGTTTCTTTTCACAGGGCACTAAGAAACAATCAGCTCAATGGAACCCTAGATTTTGGAGCTTCTTATAGCAACCATTTACATTTCATTGACATGACAAATAACTTAATTTCTGGATACACAGAAAGAAGCCGATACTCTGCTGATCTCATGTATGTTCTCTTCATTCTTCAATCATGAGTTTTTGAAAATCAGGAGGAGGGTATTAACGTCTTTTGTTCTTTTGCAGACTCATCAACAATCCAATTTGTAGGGAATCAGACACAACAGCATCATATTGTGATTCTCCCATAGATTCCAACTCCTCATATTCAACACCAAAAAACAATTGTAATCCTGAAACTACTTGCACTTCAGATCAAGTTTCAAGTCCAAATTGTAAATGTTCATATCCATACACAGGAACTTTGACTTTTAGGGCTCCTTCTTTCTCCAACCTTGGAAACTCAACTATCTATACATCCCTTCAGAGTTCCATGATGGTTTCTTTTCAATCCAACCACCTCCCGGTTGACTCACTTTCACTGAGTCAACCCACCAAGAACTCAGACAAGTACCTTGAAATAAACCTAGCCGTTTTCCCATCTGGTGGTGAACGATTCAATAGGTCAGGGATTTCTCAAATAGGGTTTATACTCAGCAACCAAACTTATAAACCTCCACACTCTTTTGGGCCCTATTTTTTTCTAGGCCATAATTATGACTTCTTTTCAGGTAAATAAATCTTCGTATTTTGTGGATTTGATTTACATCTCACGTTATGTTTTTAATGTTTTTTAAAAAAATTTACAGATGCACCAAAAAGGAAAGGAAAATCAATTGGAATTGGAGTTGCTATTGGAGTAGTAGTGGGAGGTTGTGTCCTAGTGATATTACTTATAATTGCTGGAATTTATGCTTTTCGTGAGAAAGGAAGAGCCGAAAGAGCTACCAAGAAGAACTCTCCTTTTGGTAAAAGACGTGAATGCCCTTTTCATTTATTTTAATAAAAAATAATTATCAACTGATAATATTGTGTGTACTTATTATAACTTACTTGCAGCTTCGTGGGACCCAGATAAAGGTGGAGGTGATTGTCCTCAGCTAAAAGGGGCAAGATCTTTCACATATGAAGAGCTTAAAACTTGCACAAATAATTTTGCAATCACTGCCAACATAGGCTCTGGTGGCTATGGGATGGTTAGTTTTAATATATTAATGCAACTGTTACTTTGTTGAATGCCACTTTCCACCCCCGTACTTTGTAAAATGTTAGTTTTCCTCCCTCAAATTTGAACATAGATATTTTCCTCCTGTTTATCTTTTGTATATTGGCATGTTTGCAGGTATGACATGTTTGGCCCCTACTTGGACAATAAATTACAAGAACGGTCCCTGTAATATATAGAATAGGTCCCTGTGCAGAATTATATTTACAGGAATGGTGCATTATATGTTTAAAAAAATTTACATAAATGCCCTTTTCTAATTTCAAATTTACAAAAGTGAGGTTTGGTCCCTACATAAAGAATAAATTGTGAAAACGGTCCCTGTGTATATTTTTTTTCACAGAAACGGTCCATGTGCTTAAAAAATTACAAAATGGTCCCTGCCTAATAAAAACTTTACAGTTATATATAGCATTGTAATTTGAAATGGCTTCTGAATTATATAGCAGTGAAAAATGCTATGTAGATAGATTCTTGAAAGTAGAATGCTGTAAGTAATGAGAAGAAATGAAAGTAGGAAAGTAGGATGCTATTATTTGCTCTAAGTTTTGGGGTATATATATATATATATATATATATATATATATATATATATGTGTGTGTGTGTGTGTGTGTGTGTGTGTGTGTAGGTTTACAGAGGGACACTTCGAAATGGGCAATTGGTTGCTGTTAAAAGAGCTCAACTAAGGTCAACACAAGGTGGACTTGAGTTCAAAACTGAGATTGAGCTTCTTTCAAGGGTTCATCACAAGAATGTTGTTGGGCTTGTTGGTTTCTGTTTTGATGAAGGTGAACAGATGCTTGTATATGAGTTTATTGTCAATGGTACACTCAAGGATAGCCTTTCAGGTACTCCTTTTCTTATCTTTTCATATATAGAGCTATCTTTCTTAATAAGAAAAAAAAAATCGTAAGTAGAAAAGAATGAAAGTAGGATGCTAAAAAACACTGAACACAGGGAGATCCGGGATAAGATTGGATTGGATGAGAAGACTGAAAATAATCCTTGGAGCTGCAAGAGGTTTGCAGTATCTTCATGATCTTGCTGATCCTCCAATCATACACAGAGATGTGAAGACAACAAATATCCTACTTGATGAACGCCTCAATGCAAAAGTTGCTGATTTTGGTCTTTCAAAACCATTAGGTGATGCTGATCGTACACATGTCACCACTCAAGTCAAAGGGACAATGGTTAGTCAACTTTCTTTTCCTTCACCCTAAATTCATGAATTCAATAGTTTTTGACTATTTCCATATCATTGAAGGGCTACATGGATCCCGAATACTACATGACACAACAATTAACCGAAAAAAGCGATGTTTACAGCTTCGGAATCGTGATGTTAGAGCTAATAACCGCAAGAAATCCAATCGAAAAAGGTAAGTATATTGTGAGAGAAGTAAAAGAAGTCATGGACAGGGGAAAAGACCTTTATAACCTCCATGAGGTACTTGACCCGATCATCGGTTTGACCCATGAGCTACTAGGGTTGGAAAGATTTGTGGATATCGCATTGAGGTGTGTGGAAGATACCGGAAATCAAAGGCCAAGAATGAGTGAAGTTGTGAAAGAGATTGAGAGTATTATGGAACTCGCGGGTTTTAATCCGAATGCTGAGTCAGCATCGGCTTCGGAGAGTTATGAAGGGAAAAGTAAGGGGAGTGGGCATCCTTATTTGAATGAAAGTCTTTTTTCGTATAGTGGAGGTCTTTTGGATTCAAATTTGGAGGCTAAATAATGGTGTTATGTTATGTTATGTTATGTTATGAATTCGTTTTATTGGTGTAGCGTGTTTGATGGTGATCGCGTGTAAATTGTTTTTGAAATCATGAATGTTTGTGAAAAATCATCTGTGATTAGTGCAAGTATTAGTTATTTTTAATGTTATTTATGTATAGGTATATCATATATATGGGTTGCATCGGATTGATGGTGAGATAGATGTATATGGGAAGCCACCATTTGTTATACATGACAAATCATGTTTATTGTGTTTGGTATTCACTGAATTAGACACGTGTTGATGTCAATCAGATCAAAATTGTAAATTTTTTATCCCACAAAAAATGATATCGGACAGTGGTTCATCTTCA